GACCAAGCAGGAGGCTGTGCATTTTGGATGCAGGACTTACACAATGCTCTGCTGAAATGGATTCCTCAGGCCTGAAAAAAAGGGCCTTTTGGAAACTCCCTTCCAAGCCTAGCTTCTAAGGTCCTGCCTGTCCTGAACCCTCGGCAATATGTCTTATAATATCTTGCCCCCCTGCAGTTTATTGTCCTCCCGGCAACCAGAATGATCCTCTTAAAACCAAAGCATATCATGTCACTCCTCTGCTCAAAATCCCCAGTGGCTCCCCATCTCACACAGGGTAAAAGCCAAAGTCCTGACAAAAGTCTCCAAGGTCCTATGCAGCCGCATGGCCTCCTTGCGGTTGCTCCAGGAACACTCCTGCCCCAGGGCCTTTGCACCTACTGTTCCCTCGGCCTGGAATGCACTTCCCCCAAATGACTGCTTGGCTCAGTCCCTCATTTCCTTCAGATCCTTGTTCAAATGTCACCTTCTTGCTGATGCAATACTCCTTCTGACCGTCCCAACCCCCCTCCCTGCTTTCCCCCTACAGCACTTTTTACCAAATGCCATACAATGTGTTTTCAGTATTTATTATGTCTCCTCCACTCCCACTAGAACATCAGCTCCACAAGACCAGGGATTTCTGTTTTGCTCACCACTGTATTTCCAGAACCTAGGTCAGACCCTAGCACTTAGCAGGCACTCAGTAAGTGTTTGTGGAATGAATGAAAGAGACTTGGTCTTATCACCTTCTCCCCCACCCCAATGTCCCTGTCTAGAAGATCCTGATCACTTGTTAGGGCAACTGGTACACTCGGTGAACAAGTGAGTCCCTCAGCTTCTTCTATCCCTGGCTGTCTTATCTCCAGATGAAAGGGTTGGACCAGATTATCTACAGAGTCCTTCCAGCTCTGAAAACCTTCAACTGACAAAAAAAAGGGCATAATTCTTCATTACAGCAAGCCTGTAGCTACACTTACTTAATTATGAAAACTGCGTTTCCTTTAGAATTTTCCACAGTTAAGGCCCCGCAGCCTCCACGCTTCTTAAAATAAGTGACGTTTGTCTGCAGTTGTGCTACGTGATCTGTAACCTGCACACTAGGTTAGCATTAACCTCAAGTGCTGGGATCACTGGTCTTGTAAAATCGACCCAGGCTGATAAACCAAACCACAGTTAGTTGTTTCCTAAGATCAGAAACACCACCTCTCCTTGTCCCCCTCAATTTGACACTCATTCCTTAGCAGCCCATGCTGTTGGTTTTGGGGTTTAGCCAGAGGCCCTCTGGAGAAGGAACAAAATTAGGTGTTCTGGGCCAAAAGGAAGGCGCTGGGACGAAAGCAGACCCTGGTGTGATAACACAGCATGCGTGGCACAGCTGGGAGCAGGGAGCAGAGGTCAGAGGGTCACAGGTCCTTCAAGGTCAGTCCCGACCTAGGTCATCCAGCCTAACTGACATCAGGGAGCCTCGGGTCTTTGTCTCCCCATCTGAAACAGGAACTGCATGAGTCTAATGTCCCATCAAGTATCTACAACTCTAAACCCCACCTGGCCAGTCTAACCCAAGGCCGGGGTCAAATTCACCAGTGGCGTCAGCTAAGGACTATGTTAATGTTCTCTGGACAAACGTCCAGAGACGTTTGGAATGCAGAACTTACTTCTCACACTGAATGCTGGGTCACTCCACAATAATGCTGCTTTGGTCCTTCAAAGATGCTCTGTTAGGTTTAAGGACAGAATCAGTATAAACTCACTTGTGAGCTCCTTTGGAGGCCCTGCCTTTTGGATGAGCCCCCAGCCTATGGCCCAGCCCTGGTCCCCTAAGAGGCTCCTCTAACCTCTGTAAACTGATCACTTCCTACGGGGAAGCAGGAGGGCACAGCCGTGAGGCACCTGCATCAGAGGAGTCAGACCTGGGCAGGCATCCTGGCTGTGGTGCTCACTTCCAACTGGGCAGCCTGACGCCTGTATACCTCTCTGGGCCTCAGCTTCCTGAGCAGTAAAGTGGGAATAATAAGCGCATCCTTCACGAGCTGTGATAAAGATTACATCAATTAATAAATATAAATCACTTAGCTCAGAGCCTGACTAAATAGTAGTTGTTATTATTATTATTATTATTATTAGAAATGTTTTCTTTACATCTCAAGTCACACACTGAGTTCTGGGCTGGCCCTTCCTGGTGTATATTCTGGCACTGTGGTAATAACATGGGGCTCCATCACTGAGTATATGCAAACCTAGGTTAATCATGGAGAGCAAATAGATGGCACACATGCCACCTCCCGCCTCCCCTGACCGGGGCAAGCATCTCTAATCTATCGCAGCACTTCTCCTTCTCACTACAGCCTTGGGCTGATAAGACTCAAAACAGAGCTTCAGGCACCTATGAGCACTGTGGGGAAACCCGCCTGCTGTCCTCTGATCACGAAGCAGAGATGCTGGTATGGGAGAGATTCATGCCTTAGCGAGTGAGGGCAAGGACCACATCCACATACAAGTTATGAGGAGTGAAGGGAAATTTGTTTCCATTCACTGCCGCAGACCCAGCACTTCGAACAGTGCCTGCCACACAGCAGATGCTCAAATATCTGCCAGATGAATAAATTAGCATCTAATCCACCTGAGTCCATAGCACAGAGCGCTGGGCCTAACTTAGCAGGTGCTCAACGAACACGAGAGGGCAGTGGGGGAGGCTGGCTAGACCCTCACTTGAGTACAGCATCACCGTGGAGAGAAAGCACTGGCTTAGGCAGGGTCAAGGCCTGACACTGCCACTCACTCAGCACATGACCCTGAGCAGGACCTTTCTTCACCGTGTGTACAATGAAGGGGGTTGGGAGCGGGGAGGAGACCCTGACAAAGCCCAAGGCCCCTTCCAGTCCTGACATTCAGATCCGGAAAACTCTTCCAGACAGACACTGCCAGTCTGGGGACTCCCACTGCCCCGCAGGCCCTAGCCTCATACACTGTTCTTACACAAGATTCCACTACCAGGGGCCCAGGAGAGAAACACAAAGGATCTGGGCAGCTGCTGGCCACGTGAGTCACTGTCCAGATTCCCAGGCCCAAGCCCAGCCGTGCAGCCCTCCATTCCAGCCCACGCTCCTGACTCCTACATCATGCATCTTCTCCCATCTCACTCAGTGCACCTATCCCATAAGCACTCACTGAGCACCGGCTGGAGGCCAGCCCACAGCAGTGAACAAGACAGACGTGGCCTCTGCCTCTGGAGCTGGCAGTCAAAAGAGGCACAGAAAAGTACACAAATATGTGGAATAGTTGAAGAGCACAAACAGGCCACGAGGGACACAGGCAGGGTCAGAGGGGGTCAGAAAAGGCTTCTCAGAGGGGAGGATGGAATTGAGACCTGAAGGATCAAAGGGCACGAATCATGGGAAGATCAGGGAAAAGAACATCCCAAGCAAAGGAACAGCAGCTGCAAAGGCTCTCAGGCCAGGGGTTGGCAAACTACGACCACTTGTGTATTTACGTATTATCTATGGCTGCTTTCGAATTACACTGGCAGAGTTGAGAAACTGCCACAGAGACCTATGGCCTGTGAAGTGTAAAATACTTTCTGTCCGACCGTTTCTAGGTAAAAATGGGTGACCCCTGGTTTACAGTGTTAGATAAATAAGAGAAGGTCAGGGTAGCTAAAACAGACTGAGCAAGGGGGAGACATACGAGGAGACTGGGGAGGTGGGTGGAAGCCAGGCCATGATGGTTTGGGTGGGACACACTGACCTCCAGCCTGGTATCTCCTGCAAACGGGGACCAGAGTGATCTCCCTGAAACACAGGGCTGAACACCTTACTATTCTGCTCCCTTGGTTTCCCAAAGCACGTTGCACAGAACACTGGCTCCATGGGATAAACCTTAATACGAGCGTTCCGTAGTTAAGTAAGTTTGAGAAACATGTCATTTCTCTCTCTCTCCCTCTCTCTCTCTCTCTCTCTCTCTCTCTCTCTCGGATGCTATCAAGCAAACACACTAGCACATGAAATGCTTGGAAAAGTTCCACAGCAAAGAAATCTGTTGACTCTGTTTAACTCACCATCCTTCAAATTTATTTGGCCATAGAACCCCTTTTTTTCCATAAAAATCTATTAACATTTGAAGAACCAGTGTTCCATGTGCTAAAGGGCAAACTCCTCTGCTTGGCACACCCAGCTCCAGTAGGTAACCCCAGAGCCTGTTCTAGATTTTGAGGGTGTGGCCTGGGGAGCCATCTCTCTAGTCTGTCCCTTGCCTTCTTCTTGCCTCCAATGCCCTAAACAAAGGTCATCTGGCCACTGCAGCTCTGCTCTACCAAACGAACAGCAGCAGGAACACTAACATTCACACCAAGTTAAGTGCCTGCCTTCGCCCCGGGTGGTGGACGTCTACTACATGGGCCTGTCCAACATCGCCTTCCCCCATCTTTGGTAACGACAGCCCAGCTCTTCTTTGGGGACCACCTCTCCCCCATCTCCTGCCAGCTCCAAGGGTGAGGTCTGGCTAAGCAGAATATTCCATCCTCCTGCTTTGGAGGGACGGGCTCAGGATACGAGCGCAGGACCCAAGCGGTACCGATGAATTCCAGACTAGGATGGGCGTCCCTGGAGTTCACAATGCAGCAGCCGAGATATGGGATTCAAGCCCAGGTCCTTCTGCCCAGCCTTGCACTTCACCCTAAGTCTCCCCCAACTTGAGCGGCCAAGGCCAGCTCGGCACTGAGTCATCCTTAGATTCCAGTCACAGGTGCCCAGAGAGGGCACCAGGGGGGCTGGAAAGTGCTACCCACAACCTCATATCCTCCAGGGAAGTATGGATACTTCTCAACAAAGGGAGCTGGCCTGGACCATTCATCCTTTCAGGTGGAAGGTGATGACCACAGAGAGGTAGCTGTTAGTCGTGAAACCAGGGAGAAGAAGACGGGG